TTCCATGGTAGTCTAGCTTCAATTGAGATTCATGACCTCAACTATTAAAATTACTACAATCTCCATAAAACCCTTTCTGAATATTAATTAGTTTTTCATCCGTTACAATATCAGATATCATTAGTTTAGTTTACGCCTGTTACCCCCAATGGAGAATAGGCAATCAGATATCATATTAATGCATAAAATCACTGATTGATTGTTTGAGTAATCAGAAATGAATAAACGTTTATTTTTGAAGGTTCTAAACAAGACAATTGTAGATCACAAAAAGAAAATAAATTATAATCACGTAAGCATAACTTCTTTGATTCCAATTTCAATGGTTAACCCTCCTGCATATTTCGTTAACTATGTGTTGTCTAGATAGTGTGTGCAACTCTCCGTTTTTGTAAACTTAATTCTTGATAGAATAAACAAAATATACTATTTTATAGTCAATTACTGTAATGAAATACACTATGTTAGCGTTGCTTAGTTAAATTATTTTTTTTAATAATTGATTTTGAATAATGATATACATTTATCCACCAACTGGTAATTGATTATCTTAGTTTCATATACATTAACAAATGTAAGCAAAGTACCTAAATGGAAGTCGGTGGACTAAGATATGAACAATGATTTGGTGAAGATATTTTAAATATCGTTTTATCCTTATACTTGATTGTTGTGTTGAATACAAACTTTACAAATATATATAACTTAGTAATAAGTAGGTGTAAAAGTTACCATCTGTCCAATATGAAACTGCTTTTTTCTCCATAAACTGATATCAGATGTGAAAGTTGTTTCTTTTATTGTGTAGGACTTCAAAAAAGTTAGCATCGCCGACCTCGGTATGGATCTGAACTCAGAAACCTCAGGTTCCGTGAAACTTTAAGATCAATGAATCGAAAAAAGATTTACAAACCACTAGTAAATTATATTATCATACAAGGGTGACGATAGTAATACTCACCGAATTTACAAGAAAACCTGTGGTAATACTAAGTCAGCAATTGTAGGCCATTTTAGATCATGTTATGATTAATCAATAAATTGATCTGCCTCTCTTATTCACACTGATATGTATTTTAACGTAGAACTTCTATTCGATAGTTGAATGGGATAAGAAGAAACTATTAGCTTAGTATTTTGTCCCACGACGTCACATCATTGAGCTTAGTGATCACAATGAAAACTCAATTGGCATAAATCAGTCAGAGCTGAGAAATAGACAACATGACACTGACTGTTAATCAATGACTGATTATCGCAAAATATAAAGACTTATTTGAGAAGTTAGTTCAATGGATTACGTTTCATGCATAGAACAACTTAGCATAAAGCAGTTGATGATTTTAGCGAAAACGAAACACAATTGTCTGTATGGTTCCTGTAGTTAAACGAGCAGAAAAAAAGACCAGTAACCGATCAAAATTCTGATGTAACTCAATCAGATAAAAAAAACATACAACTTATGTAGGATAAGAGAACTAGAGTACTAAATTTTTGTATCTTGATAAATCATGTTTGAACCAAAAATATTAGTGTTTTTTTAAAGTTATTCCAATTAACTGCAATTCAAGCCATAAAGTTTAACTAATCAAAACATAATTAAGGAAAATCATCTAACTTGTATACAACATCAGCTCATGCAAGTTAGTCTTAGCAAGTTTAATCATTATACCGCACAGTTATCATTTTCCTGATAATACATCATTATGGATTGTGGATAAATTAGAAAACATAAATATCTTAGCTGATACATACTAAAATAAATCAACAGAGCTTATGTACATTAATTTCTAACCATCCATCAAATGTCGAATAGGTGAGGGTTCTTTAAAACAACAAGAAAAATTTCTTTCTTCCATTATATCCGACATGATTTATACTGTTGTTATCATTTTATTTAACTGTAATGTCATGAATTTCAATCAAGTCAAATTAAGATATTGTATATTACCACATTTGATTTAATATATATTTTACCTTGATAGAATAATATTGTCTAGATAGATAGATAGATAGATAGATAGATAGATAGATAGATAGATAGATAGATAGATAGATAGATAGATAGATAGATAGATAGATAGATAGATAGATAGATAGATAGATAGATAGATAGATAGATAGATAGATAGATAGATAGATAGATAGATAGATAGATAGATAGATAGATAGATAGATAGATAGATAGATAGATAGATAGATAGATAGATAGATAGATAGATAGATAGATAGATAGATAGATAGATAGATAGATAGATAGATAGATAGATAGATAGATAGATAGATAGATAGATAGATAGATAGATAGATAGATAGATAGATAGATAGATAGATAGATAGATAGATAGATAGATAGATAGATAGATAGATAGATAGATAGATAGATAGATAGATAGATAGATAGATAGATAGATAGATAGATAGATAGATAGATAGATAGATAGATAGATAGATAGATAGATAGATAGATAGATAGATAGATAGATAGATAGATAGATAGATAGATAGATAGATAGATAGATAGATAGATAGATAGATAGATAGATAGATAGATAGATAGATAGATAGATAGATAGATAGATAGATAGATAGATAGATAGATAGATAGATAGATAGATAGATAGATAGATAGATAGATAGATAGATAGATAGATAGATAGATAGATAGATAGATAGATAGATAGATAGATAGATAGATAGATAGATAGATAGATAGATAGATAGATAGATAGATAGATAGATAGATAGATAGATAGATAGATAGATAGATAGATAGATAGATAGATAGATAGATAGATAGATAGATAGATAGATAGATAGATAGATAGATAGATAGATAGATAGATAGATAGATAGATAGATAGATAGATAGATAGATAGATAGATAGATAGATAGATAGATAGATAGATAGATAGATAGATAGATAGATAGATAGATAGATAGATAGATAGATAGATAGATAGATAGATAGATAGATAGATAGATAGATAGATAGATAGATAGATAGATAGATAGATAGATAGATAGATAGATAGATAGATAGATAGATAGATAGATAGATAGATAGATAGATAGATAGATAGATAGATAGATAGATAGATAGATAGATAGATAGATAGATAGATAGATAGATAGATAGATAGATAGATAGATAGATAGATAGATAGATAGATAGATAGATAGATAGATAGATAGATAGATAGATAGGTAGATAGATAGATAGATAGATAGATAGATAGATAGATAGATAGATAGATAGATAGATAGATAGATAGATAGATAGATAGATAGATAGATAGATAGATAGATAGATAGATAGATAGATAGATAGATAGATAGATAGATAGATAGATAGATAGATAGATAGATAGATAGATAGATAGATAGATAGATAGATAGATAGATAGATAGATAGATAGATAGATAGATAGATAGATAGATAGATAGATAGATAGATAGATAGATAGATAGATAGATAGATAGATAGATGTTTAGTGTATATAATACATGTTATAGACATCTTAAAGATTTATAGTATTTCTTAAATAAAATCACTAATGTAACATTTTAAATCAATAAATGAACAATCGTTAGTAGGAAAAGTGACAACTGTTGTCAGTAAACTTCAAATAGTTCTTATTTTATATACATTTAAACATTCAATATATCCTTCGAAATTCATTAATTCATCCTTAATAAATTCATTTTATTAAACCTTTGAAATTCTTATAAATTCAAACCATTTTCCTATAAATCTTAATAATTAACTTTTTCTATTATAGATTGTTTAACAATTAATAGATAACTAGTATTTAAGTTATTAAATATACTGATAACTTATAGGGGTTATAAAGTCGAATTCGCTAGGAAAAACTTATCACCTTTATATATATATATATATATATATATATATATATATATATATATATATATATATATATATATATAAATTAGTTCCTTTGATGAATCTCGATAATGTAATAAGAAGAAAATTATCAGAACTATGTGATGATATGTATTAGCGCAATACATTTCGAACAATCTGATCAGACTTGTTAAGAACATTTATGTATTTAGAAAATAAATGGTTAACTAGACTAGAAATGAGTGTAATAAGAGACAAGGATAATAATAATAATAATAATGTGTCTCATCTTACCATCCATTTCTAGTCTAGTTAATGATTTATCGTTTTATACATAGATGTTTTTAACAAGTAAATAATGTATGATTAGATTGTTCGAAATGTATTGCGTTAATATATCACCACATAATTCTGATAATCTTCGTCTTCTATATGACATTATCGAAATATATCTATTCGATTGTTGAGATCATAAGTCCATTGAAGCTAGACCACTTTGAAAAACCTAGAAGCACTGGATGGCCGTTTCATCCTAGTATGGGACACTTCAGCAGTGCGCATCCATGATCCCGACTCGCGAGATTGAAACCCAGGATCTAACAGTCTCGCGCACGAACGCTTAATCTCTAGACAACTGAGTCGGTAGGCATCCAACCATATTAATGTGTAACTTCAAATAATCCACGAAGTAGAGCCAACGTCCATCATTGTCATCAGTGAGTTACTATCTATCTGAGAACAAACCCGGTTGAACTCCAGTGGTCACTGAATCTCACTAGAACTCCAGGAAATAACTCTTGAAGCCAGTCACTAGTGAACATATGTTAATTAATATCAAAAGGGAGATTTTATAGAGATTGTAGTAATTTCAATAGTTAAGATCTTGAGTTAATCAAATCTAGACAACCATGGAAAACCTAGAAGCATTGGACGGCCATTTCATTCTACTTTAGGACTCCCACATTAAATTAACTCATGATTTCAACAAGTGAAATTATTAAAATCTCCACAAAAACCCCTTCTGATATATATATATATATATATATATATATATATATATATATATATATTGATTTATCAATAACAAAATAAAAATAAATCAATTATATAATCGATTATTTATAAATAACTTACAATTTTATTGAATGTTTTAATTTGATCATCTATAGGTGGATTACTATAATCATCAACTAATATAATTTCTTTTATATTATTATTCAATAATAATAATGATGTATTTATTAATATACTATTTATTGTATTTATTAAAATAATTGGATTTTCATTATATGCAATAATAATAATACTTATTTTTGGTATATATTTATATATATCTGATATATATAATAATTTAATATTTAAATGTTGTGATAATGTATTCAATGTTAAATTATTACATAATTCAATATTAAATTGTTTTGTTTTAAATTGATTATTATTTAAATGTAATGGATTCAATATTGTTGAACTTGTTAATAATAAATAGAAAGTAATAATACTGATAGTAGTAGTAGTAGTAGTAATAGTAATAAATTTGTTAATTACAATATTAGATTGAATAAGATTATGATACATTTGATGTAGAGTTTCAGGTTGTCAATGATTACTGGATTATACAATATTATGTAATTTCATCTTCGGTTAAATAAATTGATTATATATATATACATATACATATACATATATAAGTCTTCTCCAATGAAACAATGTTGAAATTTTTCTTTGAATATTAAATCTTAGCAACAAAAGGAATTAATATATAAATCCATATTGTCTGATTAGTTTTCTTTTGTTTTTTTTTTGTTATTTCCATTAATTTCAATGGATGGATAAAGAAGGTTTATTATTAGAGAATAATGTTATCCCATCCACCTATCATAATAATAATAATAATAATAATAATAATAATAATAATAATAATAATAATAATAATAATAATAATATACACTTATAAACTACATATTACACGTAATCAACACACTCCAATATTATAATTTAATTATTCTTTAAAGAATTATTTTTGTATACAATATGTACGTGTACAAATACGTAAGGTAATATGTTATTCTTCTTTTTAATGAAAACATATTATTACTTTTTTTAATTTTTGGTCTGTGCAGAAAAGAAAAGAAAAACAAAGGTCATTTTAATATTGGTTAACAAATCCGAACTATGAGATTGGTTATATGATATGTAAGTGTTGATTTGTGCATAGCACATAATTGATACACACTCACTCATACACAAACACACACACACGTAAATAATACATATATACATACATATAAAAAGGTTGATGTTACCTATAAAAAACGTTTATGTTCATTTTATAATTAAGCTATATATTTTAAAGTGTTATTATTTCTTCTTTCTTTTTTTTAATGATAAGCCGTTTTCATTGGTATATGTTTGTTTATTTTTGTTGTGTTCTTTTTTTGTAACGTAAGCATTTGGATTAATTGTACAATAAAACGGCAACATTTTCAGTAATCTATGAAATACTTAAATGATTGAATAGTGTATATTTAAAATCAACTAATTATCATTTTAATATGAATATTTTATAAAGTGTATAATGTAAACATAATCAAATTATCAAAAAGGGGTTTGGTAGATATTATATCAATTTTAATAGTTGAAATCATTAGTCAATTGAAGCTAGACCACCATGGAAAACCTGGAAGCACTGGATGGCCGTTTGTGATATTAATCAACATATGCTCACTAGTAACTGACTTCAAGAGGTATTTCCTGGAGTTTTAGTGAGAAGCAGTGAGCAGTGGATTTCAACCAGGTCTGTTATTAGATAGTAACTCATTGAAGACAATAATGAATATGTCGCCCAATTTCGTGGATTAATTAAAGTTAGACATTAACAACATTGGATGCCTGCCGGATCAGTTGTCTAGAGGTTAAGTGTTCGTGAGCGAGACTGATGGGTCCTGGGTTCGAATCTCGCGGGGTGGGATCGTGGGTGAGCATTGTTGAGGAGTCCCACAATAGGAGGAAATGGCCATCCAGTACTTCCAGGTTTTTCATCGTGGTCTAGTTTCAATAGACTGATGATCTCAACTATTAAAATTAACAAATTATATCAGTTAAAATGTTTTTGAAGTTAAGCATCAACTTTATGTTCATATCTTTTAGGCATAAATTAGAAGAAAGATATTTGAATTTGTTTTTTTATCACTATTTGTAATAAATGGATAATTGATTTCACTCTATAATGTGCACTAGATGCATTAGTCTACTTCTCTTTGGTCCGTGTAATTTTTCCAATTAGGATTATAAATATGAGCCTAGCAGTTAGATAACAAACAGTATCCATTTGTACATTTGAATCATTGTTCCCGATGAAAATGACGTTTGTTACCCAAGTCAAATAGAGAATTTCGTTTTATTTATATGAATGAAAGTCAATTTAATGTTTTACATCATGCAAGTATTAATGCTACGAAATATGAATTTTTGTGTTACATAAAGAGATATTATTAGTATTTTTATCTTGACTTCTTAAACCAAATATGGAACTTCAATCTCGATTCTCATTGCTAATAACTCATTTTAAGTACTGACTTTATTAAGTTCGGTTATACGACTTAAGAATGGTTTTTCACATTAATTATTTAGAAAAAGGAATTATTTAACATTAGTTTCACATTAATTTGAGGTTCTTCAGAAGTGGGCGCCCACGACTCTATTAGGAGTGTAGTAGGAGCATGAAGATTACTTTGTTGAACAGCCAACAAGTGTTTGTAAGATTGTTGTTACAGGACATTGTTTTGAGATACCAGTCAATAGACCATAATAACTGGTACTATAAGGCAAATTTGACACTAGCATTGCATTAAACTTAAGAGTGAATTGCAGCATTTTAGTGGGAAGATTCACAATGTATTTACTTGCAGATTATGAAAGGGAAACGATTTTACACCTTCGAAATGGCCAATTTCAATAACGTACGTGTTAACTTTAAAACGTTATTTGTAGCTAACTTAACAGACTGCCTACAACTAAATAACCATTGGACTATGAAGCACTGGAAATTCATCTAACCGTTCAATAGTGTGGACCCATATGATAAAAACTACAAATTGATCTGTCTTGATAGACTTTTTGTAGCAATAATATTTATCATTTCCTGTTTTACTACTTATCACTAATAAGCAGTATGCTGACAAATTGAAATGTTGAAAAAGAATAGAAATTCACCAAACGCAGTGTGTTTAGTTTTTTTATATTTTTGAAGTCTCTTTCATACACATATAGAAATTGTGACTATTTGTACAAGAGAAAATTACTCAACCTCTTCTCCTACCATACTTATAATCTAGCTATTTACTCAACTCGTTAACGGGCTGTCAAACTACTCCAAACACACTACACCAGAAGTATGAACGACTGGCCACTCACTCTTTAAAGCGACTATTACATATTCTCATTACAGTTTACGATATTATTCATGGTTGATTTTAATAATGCAACCTATCATTTAAATTGAACTTCATTCAAAAGATACATGAAAGGCCATTTCGGAGAAGAAAATGGTCTTTGTCCTGGCGCAATAGTTTAGATTAATGGTTCTCGGCTGTTTGAACTATGAAAGATTACATTTTCCACAGAAAACTACTTTCAGTGACATCCACGTTCATTCGAAGCATCCCACATAAGTTTAGAAAAAGTGCTAGATTTCTTATGAAACTGAGTGCTTTTGAGAAAGGCTTAGCTCCTCTAATACGTGTTTTTGCAAGATGTATTTTACAACATGAGATGATAGTGTCATTAGGGATACTAGCCAGCTGAAGCAAACTTACCTGACTATAGCTACTATCTAGGGTTCACTATCAAACGCCTATTACAGTGAAACCAAATCAACAACATTAACTGATCTTGAGCAGACCTTTATTCGGCATTCTTAACATATAGAAGACAGTAACATATAAATGATGTTTTTATCCAAATGAATGTTATAGGGATATTTACTGTGAACGCTTTTATAAAGCATTAAGCACAATCAAGAGATCAAACCCACTAAGTACACTCGGGTTTCCGATACCAAGTTCGAGGAAAGCTCATATGAAGAACGACGACACAACATACTTATGATATATAGCTAATTCATTTGGTTTGCGAAGAATAAGACCCTAGAATTCAATTAAAAATGGGTCTGGTGAATACACCTTTGTTTTCTATTAGACTGTTGCTGCCACCTTGATGTGGTGGTCGAGCGTGCTTATAGTGATGAACCAATCGAGCTATACTGGCTGGAACAATAGTTCCTCAAGGTCCTACCATGCCAGACAGGTCGGTGGAAGAATGCTAGGAATAAAAGCAACAAACCCAAGGTCTGAGTCATACTGCTGACTGTACAGAGATGTGACGGCAGTAAGGTATCTTATTCAGACAACCAGAATAACAACGATGCTGCCTTCCCACAAGGAAGGGTGGGGTTAGGAAATGTCAACCGTAAAAATGCACACCTCACCTTATCCCACGGAATTCCGTCTCCGGTGGTAAGGATACAAGTACGAAGCTAACACGAAAATTACTCACAGAGAGGTCGCGTGTGACAGGCCTTAAGCAGTTGTCTCTTTAGTACTATGGTCACTCTTAGGTCACTAAGACCACCTCTAACCCAACTTCTTTTTCAGATACCTCTACAAGAACCCATGCACGGTGTGGGAAACCGGGAAGTGAAAACCGCCATCATAGCTCTAACAGCATTCAAGACCACTGTATTCACTAAACTACTACAGCTTATTGCTGAACTGGAAGAAAGGTTCAGTAGACGCCCAAGTTTGAGATCATCACTATACATCAACTCCCATGACTATGAGAAAGCGTTTAACAGAGTGGATAGGAGGACCATATAGAACCTTCTTCGACACCATAGTGTACTTGAGATCATCGACATTATATGGAACCCATGAGACGGATTACACTGCAAAGTCGTGCATGGAGGGCAGCTGCATTCAAAGTGAGAACCGTTGTCAAACAAGGCTACTTACTCTCGCTCTTTCTCTTGGTAGTTGATTGGATTATGAAGACCTCCACGTCTGAGCGAGAGCACGGAATACGATGAACAGCTTGCATGCAACTAAACGAGTTCGATTTGGCAGATGACTTGACCCTTCTATCCCATACATACTAACAAATGCAGATGAAGACAACCAGTGTGGCAAAAGCCTCTGTAGCCGTAGGCCTCAACATACACAAACGAAAAAGCAACATCCTCAAGTATAGCGCGGAGGACACTAATCCAATCACATTTTGAAAACGTGGAAACTTTCACGCACTTGGTCAGAATCAACAACTAGAGAGGACCTGATGTAAAGCAAAGACAGTATTTCTACAACTGAAGAACAGATGGAATTCAAAACAACTGTCAGTCAACATCTAAGTCAGAATTTTCAATACGAACGTCAAGATACTTTTACTGAACGGAGTTGAAGCTTGGAGAACTACCACAACCATCATCAAAAACGTATAAATATTCATAAACAATTGTCTGCGCAAGATACTCAGTGTCCGTTGGCCAGAAACCATCAGTCATAACTGTGACAGAAAACAAATCAGCTTTCAACTGGAGAGGAAATCAGGAAAAGACGTTGGCGGTGGATAGGACATACATTACTGCAACATGAGGCAAGCGCTAACTTGGAATCCTGAAGGAAGAAAAAAAAGCGGAAGACCAATGAACACATTATTCCGAGAATTGGAAGCAGACATGAAAAGGATGAATAACAACTCGGAAGAACTGGAAATCATTGCTTGGGACAGAGTTGGATGGTGAATACTGGTGAGTGGCCTATGCTTTTCCATGAGGGGTAACAGGCAATTGAGTTGAATATTACAGCTCATGGAAGCCATCAAAACGTAAAAAGACTACAAATTTAATTTTAACAGTGTATTCTAAACACCGTTCTGTACATGTGGGAATATCTCATTTTGAGCGAACAGTGATCCTAGGGTCGCCAATGAAGACACTTTCTTTGCTTTCGAAAGGCATGAAACCTAAGTAACTCGTAAGAAACGAGAACAAATCTTACCGAACTGTCTAGACCTTATAATTAACTTGGATATTCTTTTTTGCATTGGAATACACATTCCTGTAATGTGTCGCCCGTAGATACGGCCAGTGTATGGAGAAACGAATTGTGATAATAAACGAACATTCTATAGTTTATCATGAAGGTGCGGTATTCATACCTTGTAGTCTAAAGGAATGTTCTTTTCACAAATAAAACATTTCTTTTTCGTTTTACGGTACGGATCCGGAATATCAACTGGCTTTGAAAATATAAATAATCGTAATACTTCCAACCTTATCTTCATCTCCGTTGAGATCCACAGAGACAAACCGTACACCCAAAGCCGGTTTGAAACTTAAAAATCCAGGAATCCATAAGGAATTTGTACTTTCTTTTAATCGAGTAGGCCAAACGCCTAACGTAGAGAAAACCCTCATACCTAGCGCATTTCTCTCTGAATGTCCTTGAAAGTTCGGTCCTTCAAACTTGTAAACTGAGAACAGTCAAAAAATTAAGTGGTCCTGTTTTGGGTATACACCTGAGTTTTACTAGACGATTTGTGGTTGGATAGAGATATTACTCCTGCCTGAAGGAATTAAAGTACTATTTATTTACGAAAACATAAGCATCTCAAATAACTGACTCGGAGGTGACATTATATTGTCACTTTTGGGGATTTCCCAAAAGTTGGGAACTTGGGTAACCTGTATGTTTTTGTTTCACAACGGAATAAAACAATAAGGACATGTGATACTGCCTTATACGTACGCAGTACATTAACATTAATAGGAAATTACAACAAGACCATAACTACCACGCAGATGAAAAAGAACTAATTAATAGGTCCTTAATTGAATAACGTTAGATGAAGGGAGGTAAAACCCTCAAAAATGTTTGACGCTCTAAGGATAAACTAATAATTAGAATAATACAAAAACACTGCAACCAAAGTGTCTAATAAACATAAAACGAATATATGAGTTGAAGTAATCAGTAAAATAGCCCGAATATTTTTATTTTCACAATTTTATCCCCTTCGTAGCATTATTTAACAGGTTCAAACTAACAAACATCTAGTCAGCACGAATAAACTGACTTAAATCATACGCAAATAATCTATTTTTAAGTCAAATTTAGCTTCCGTGTTTTTGGACTACGGGAGGTCTTCGTGTAATCTCCTAGGGTTCAGAGCTGGAACCCCTGCTCTTTTTGATTTGATGTAGATGGCCTTCTTCATCAAGTGTCTTTTACAATGTCTCGTTTTTTGAGACAATATTTAGCTAATGAGAGGAGTTTACAACCAGGGCGATAAGTTGAGATTTTATGACATCCTGATTTGGCTTCAAAGTTTCATCAACAACAATGAACTCTGTTAACTCTACAGTTGATACGATTGATGCATTCAACGACGAATGGTAGACTCAGAACGCCGCAATCGCTTACAAACTGGATTAGACCAAAAATGAATTACTGCGGGAATCGAAATATACCCATTCAACAACACAACGAGGGTGTTGTAGCTGATGCATATCCGTAATGTAGTGATCAGTATTCTGGTGCTTATCGCATGATAATTACCAGTGTAGGGTTTTGGAGATTACTGAGTTTTTAAATGAGATTATGAACCGATTAATGTTAGACCACCATTGCACTCATTAGTGATCAGCTTCGAGAGGTAATTCGCGGGTTCTAGTGAGAAGCCGTGATCAGTGAAATTCAATCTGTGTCAGGTTTGAGGCAACTACCCACTGACTACAATGGAGGGCGGTCGCGCAATATCATGGATTGGTTGAAGTTAGACATTAACACCATTGGATACCGGCTCAGTAGTCTATGGGTTAGGCGTCTGTGTGCGAGACCGATAGATCCTGGGTTCGAACCTCGGGCGTGGGATCATGAACCTGCATTGCTGTGTAGCCTCATCCTAGAGCGAAACGTTCTTCAAACCCTTTCAGGTTTTCAATAATGGTCTAATATCAATCAATTCATGTTCTCACTTCAAAATTTTACAATCTCCATAACCCCATAATGATAATTGAACTTTTGCTCTCGATGTGATTTACGAGAGTCTCATCTTCTGGTGAGCAAAAGCGTCCACTGACATGGTTTCATAAATGAAGATCAACTTGATCACTGTTTATTTTCAAATTAAACTCAGCCGAGTAATAAAATCGCTAGTAGCAGGTATACTGCAGTTAATTTTACGACAACTGTGTTATTACCATTGTCCTTTGAATCATGTAACTTATCTTCATTGTTATCGGTTAAACAAGATTCTTATTCAGATGAAAATGCCACTTCTGATTTAACTTATTTTTCAAATAACTACTGATTCGATCACCACCAGTTCGCGAGGAAGTACAACCTGTTTGCCAATACCCTGGAACTTTAGTCAGAATAAGAATTTTGAGATCTTTCACAACAAGGGAACCTTAAGGTGTCTTATTGGGCATGGCACTTGTAACTTTTTCGATTTCAGCTACATTAAACCTTCTGTTAAACGCTCTGATTTCGTGACTTTGTACATGAATAAACTATCTAGAATTGGCAGTATAAGCAAAGATGGATAGTGGCTAGCAGTGGAATCCATGACGCGCGTTTCGTCCTATTTGGGACCCGTCAGCTGGATGTATCTGCATCTTAGAGTTCATGTTCACTCTAGGACTCGAATCCCGTACCGTTCGCTTTAAACGCCATCGCGTTGTCCACTTAGCTACTGAATCCTGATAGCCACTTGCTATCCACTATCCATTTTTGCTTATAATGCTTGTAAATTAGGGAAATACACACAGTATGCACATATGCCAATAACAGACTGATCACTTTCAGTCCTAAACATCAATGGGAAGATTCAAATAAAACAATATCAAGTGATTTAAACTTCACCCCATTGCACAAGCAAGTGGTTAACAGGACTCAGTAGCTAAGTGGATAACGCTATGGCGTTTGAAGCGGACGGTACTGAGTTCGAGTTCTAGAGTGAATATCAACTCTGAGATGCAGATACATCCAGCTGACGAGTTTTAAATAGGACGAAACGCGCGTCCTGGATTCCACTGCTAGCCACTATCAATCTTTGTTTATAATGCTTGTAAATTAAGTAAATATCGAGGCAATACGCACAGTATGCACATATACCAATAAGAGGCTGATAAATCGCAGTCCTGAACATCGATGGGAGGATTCACGTAAAACAATATCAAGTATCTAGAATTGGTATGTGATCCTTTGTGTTATCTTAAACCTGATAAACACCACCTCTAAGTCTCTAATATGCTCTGTGTGGGATGAAAAACAGTATATCGAACCGTTTTTAGGTATCTTTCAAGTTTTGTCTCTCGCTTCTGCTACTGTTAAGAACCCGCAGAACCTAATGACTCTCATAGCCTCTTCGGCACATTACATGGCTAAGTATATTAGTCTCGCTTCGATAATTTGTAAAATGATAGTACCTCTAATTCTTTGAACACTAAGACAATCTTCTTAGTTTCCGTTAGGATACTTAAGCCAAAACATTGGCCTATACGACCAGAAAATAGGTCCAAGAAAGATTGTAATCTATGTGTTAAAATCAGAATCCTTTGCGCCTGACATGTAGAAAACTGATACTGGACTTTAACTCCCGCTTCAGTAACTAATTTTCCTACTTATTAGACTGAAAAAATCAAAAATTTCATGAAGCTCCAAAATTTGTTTATGAAAGTTAGGGGAAGCTATAAGTCGTCTACACACATTAACTGTGGTTTTGTGAATGATTGTTAATAATGAGTCATGTTATACTTATGACTATTGTCCAATTTGTTTATCCCCAATGACGGTATTTTAAATGAGACACATGGCAAACAACCGAGGAAGTTTTTGAGGGAAATTTAGATTAAAGGTCTTACGTTGACCGTGACAAAATGCCTTTAGAGCAGACTTTGCATACGGGAAATTGAAACGCAATATTTCCAGTCACACAGCACACAACATGTTTCGGATTTTTGGTGATAGAAAATGCAATACACGAACTGGTGATCCATGGAGCGAGCCAGCGCTTACTCTGGTATTTACAATTGGATCAGAACAGAGATCACATATAATTCATTGGGATGCATTCTGTCCTGAAATTCGAATTATGTGCTTACTAGTTCACATAGTTATCATCATTATAAGCCGACATGACACAGCCTGACACCTACCCTTTATACAGTTTTATTTAACGACATTTAGTGTGAGGAAGCGTGATCTTTCCTTCTTCACTTCTGAAGAAGAAAAGTACTCTAGAGCGTATCCAAAAGAGAGCAACACGATCAACTCAAGAGTTCAAATTCAGAGCTCATGAAAAACCACTTAAAACACTGGGTTAAAACAGATGAAAATATTGGAGTGTAGGGATAAATTAATTCGAGAATTAAACAGTTCTGTGGGTCATCCACATAGATGATGATTCTGTTAGTTTTAATAGACACACCCTTGCCGAAATCTATCGGCGTTCGCACCAAATCACTAGTGGATACGCCAAGCTGTGCATTCTTGCAACTAGCAATCAACTTAAATCAAACATTTACCAACACACCGACAACCTTCTAAATATATCTTCAAACACATTCACTGCCGGCTACTGATATGACTGACTTAGTATCCCTGGATTATGAAGGTACTACAGACAAAAGAGTTGTCAAACCTTACATATTTGTAGCATTTTGAGAATGTTCAGAGGCAGTCTCTGGGTGGTCTACTGCATTCAACATGATTTTGTTTATCTTTAGTTTATCACCAACAATAACCTGAAGGTAAAAACACGGAAATTGAGGATAAAATACAGCAAATTGAACCGTAAGTACAGTTTCTTTTTACGTGTAGTTAAGTCTTAGAATTCGCTGTTGACTGAAGCGGTGCACATTCTCTCATGAAACTGACTAATGCACCTTAAATGACAATCACTTTTAAAACTAAAAACACACGCTCCTGAAGAGGAGCGCCGGCTGATGATACAAACCATCAATGCCATTATAGAAAAGTAATATAACCAAATGGTAAACTAGCAGAAACCAGGGATATGCGCCTTCATTTTGATTTAAGGATCAAGTCCCCATTTAAATACGGTCATCTCTCGACATCAAGGATAAAGAGGCGAGCTTGCAAGTGACGACACTACCGTTACAATAGGGCACGCAAAACAGGAGGTGGAGCGGCAGTATACTTTAATGCTACTCGAGGTAACCCTGGAATGACTGCACGTCAAAGAACGAACACTCAGGTACGCTGTCATTTTTTTTCATTGCGACTTTCTCCCACTTAAAATACTCTCCAAGCCAAAATGACCACAGCCCTCTCAGTGGACATTTCTGAATAAATAACTGACAAACACATATTTCCCTAAAAATTAACATCTCTCTCTTGGAACAGCTGTGTTTAATGCATGTTATAAATGACCACGGTCATCATTACCACATATCAGTATCTACTTCCCATATCCTTCATTATCATCTCCGTTTCACTTATTATTCTCCTAATTTCGTCTTCTGACAAATTACCACGTTTTTATTCTTGAAACAACAGTCT